TATTAGCTGGAATAATTTAGTTATTTAATCATCCAGACATGAACAGTCAACTGGGCAGTCATGTACTGTGTCATTTTTCAGATCTGTCAATTTAAGGAAAGGTTTAAACACAGAATATAGTATTCATGAACATGTGGGATTTATGATGCAACTTTGAGGATTTATTGGCCATTAGCCAATTAGTGGATTAAATTAAACAAAACTTTAGTATGTACATCTTGACACACATATTACTATTATCATATGTAGAGTGAACTGTTACTAATTCCTAATGATCAACACTTGGAAAGTTTGAAAGAAAAAAAGAACTTCAAAATTCATGCTTAGGCATATGATACAGGGTTTTTAAAATCTATTTCTGGGATGAGAAAAATAAATACAGCATAATTTTTTGACAGCATACAAATAAAATATATGCAGCAGTCAAACACAGAGCATCTTTTGGCTTCTGGTATGTTATACATAATGGCTGTTTTTGATAATGGTACAATGCCTAGATTTTGCTTTCCTATATATTGGCCATGTCATGATGATTTAATAGCTAAAAAAGTGCATAACAAGTACTTAATTGACATATACCATAAAATACTGCCATCGCTGTTGCATAGTGGTATACTGTTTAAATTAGATACCATATGTTACTGGACTATAAAAGTCAATGTTTAGAAGAATGTTTGCTATCAGGTACCAAACAATGTTAGGGTTGTTGCTGTTGTGGCAGTCTGCCAAGTCTATTATAGCCTAACATATACAATATTCAAGTCTCATAAAGATGCAAATACCATTTTTTCCAATTAGCGGTTTTGTCCTTTTCTATTTTACAAAAACTGATTTATTTTTCTCCTCTGCACTTTGAATGGAATTGAAATACATTTTTTTTGTTTAGCAATATGTTGATTATGTAGGGGTTATAACATGCCAAAGTTATGGGAGTAGTGTTAACTCATATCCTTCTGCCAGAGGGCATTTTTGAGGACAGAGCTGGGCAATTTGTTTTTGACAAACAGAAATATTGTTAAAAGATATTTTTTCATGTCCTTGAAACTATTCACAAATTTGGGTCATATGTAACCAATAAGTGCCCAGCTGATCCCCAGCTCCGCGTTGCACTGCCCCTTTGAGGCGCTGGAGTGGCACTTCAAAGGGGCAGCAATGTGGAGCCAGGGATCTGTTGGAGTGTCCAGCTGATCCCCGGCTCAGCATTGCGCTGTCCCTTTGAATTGCCGCTCCAGCGCTTCAAAGGAGCAGTGCTGCACGGAGCCTGGGGTCAGCTGGGAACTCTAGCTGACCCTGGGCTCCCACGATGCTGCCCCTTGGAAATGCCGGGGTGGCCTTTCCAAGGGGCAGCGCTGCATGGAGCCAGGGTCAGCTGGGGATGCCAGCTGATCCCGGATTCCTGCGGTGCTGCCCCTTTGAAATACCACTGCAGTGTTTCAAAGGGGTAGCACATGCGATTAATCGCAATTAATTTTTTTAATCGCTTGACAGCCCTAATTTTTTAGTTTGATGAATGTTTTCAAAAATTAGATTAATTTCAGATTGAATTGGATTTTTAAAAAGTATTTCACTCAGCTCTAGTCAGGACTTTATAGGGAACCTAACTCCTTTATTTATTTTATAGCTGCTGCAGCAATACTAGCAGAAGGTGCGTACAGCTGCACAAAAATAGGGTGATGGAATTTTTGCTCATAAAATGTTTTTTCAGAAATGCCACTCAGCAAAACAAACAAAAATGATGTGTAGGCTGCTTATAGCAATTAAATACTAACACATG